GTGCAGAGCCCGATCTCACAACCTCGAGATCATGACCAGAGCCGGACGCTTAACCAACTGAGCCACCCAGGCGCACCCCCTTCAGGTACATTTTAAAGCTGGTTTACCAATTAAGACATGTGCTTGAGCGTATGGAATCTGAAGCCAAAGAGGTCCAGGTTTGGACCTCTGTTCCACTAACGTGGGGGGCACACAACCAGATAGGGTAGCTGACTCCCAGAAAAGGGAGATAATATCTGCCTTACACGGCTGCGGAAAGGATTCTATAAAATAACATATGAAAAGCTCTTAGCACACAGTAAAAACCCAATCAGTGGTATCACCTTTTGTCGCCATTTTTCTTGCTATTTTTCTTCAAATATTAGGCTATTTCAGAGATTATTTCTGGGTTTATTTCCTTATGTCCCCATTATTTCATTACTTTTTGGGTGTATGCAGGCTGTGACAGGAGCCCACGGGTGAGCAACTAAGGCGGCCACACAGGGAAGGCCCCCAACGGTACTTACTCTGCTCTTCTTACTGCTGGACATTTTATTCTTGATGTAGCTGAATGTACGACTGACTTTCGTTCCACTCTTCCCTTCAAAATCTTTCTTGGAGGGGCTCTGTGGCAGGAAACTATAGGTCTCTTCTGTTATGCTAAATAAAAACAAGGCAATTGATTTTTTTAGAAAGACTACAGAAGTTAATTAAAAAAAAATTAAACACAGATTAAAAAATACATTTCTCTGCAACCATATACATCTTAGCTACAAGTCACAGTCAACTTACATACACACATGAGAACGGGAGGCAAGAGCAAGGATGGACAGAGGCTGCTGAGTGGCTCCACACAGTAAGATCCGAGAACAGAGCACAGCACAATGCCCATGCTCCTCGGCAATCAATACTGGTGCATACAGCTTTGCACAGTTTTAGGAGGGAGGCTACAAAGAACCTAAGTCCATCTATGATGGACTAAGTTTGGATCTTAGGAAATTCACAATGGTTCATTTCCTCAAAGAATGCTGGGCACTTATACACACAATCCATTACACAGAAAAGGAATCTACTTACACTAATTTTCTGAGGTGTTCTACAAATCATTATTTTAAGAACTTTTCTGCAGAAAAGTTGTTTACCTCAAGGGCCTCTGAGAGAGGACAGAGGCACAACTCAAGAGGGGGGAACAATCCTCTTCAATAGCTAAGGTCTGTTTATGTATAAAGAACTGCTTACAAAATAAAGCAGCCTGTCCTGACGATGAAGGGGAAATGGTGTGAGAACCACTGCCCTAGAGGACAAAGGATAAATAAACTGTCACAGAAATGCAAAGAGAAGCATTCATACTGAGAGTTCTGGATCACTGAGTCACAGCTTATGCCTCTGTGAAAAGGAGAGCAGCTTAAAGTGCAGGGCAACAACCAGAACCCCCATTATGCTTACATTAGAATGCTTTAGAGCCCCATAAGCATGACAAGATGAATATAAAAATAAACAATGAGTCAACATACAAATCTTCTGCCTGCTGTCAAGTAAAGAACCAATTCAGTTACTTGGACAGAACTGTGTACCATATCCGTGCAGGCAGAAGAAAAAGACTTTAAAAGCTTAAAATGGCTAAGGCAGCAGTAACACACACACACACACAATGAAACAAAATGTTGTCGGGCTTAGGGACAACAATTCCTATAAGCAGAGTACTAAAGTTCACAGAGTCAAATACAAGTGTTTCCTCTCCTGAATAAACATGCAAACATGTATCCTTGTGATAGTGTAGAGAGCAAAAGTAAAAGACTCTTGAGGACATTATTTGAAAAGGCCAGAGCCTTCTTTACAAACCACTTGTAGCCATTATTCCAAATTGATTACTCAAGGAAGTAAGAATCTCATGAGCTGAATTCACTTCTTGGTTGACTTAGTTAAATGTCCTAAGACATTTTGGGTTTCCTTCACTTCATCTCGGGGAAAGGAGTAACAAAATAAACGTGCAGTACCTCTTGGTCAGGTTGGCACTGGTACCGAGGAACGGCCGTGAATCTGGAAAACAGAAACGGGAGAGAAAACGTTGGAACTGAAGGACTGTGCGTGGATGATGGAGCCGATGTTTAGAATGTTTACGACGATACGTGTAGAACAGACAGAGCGTCTGAAAGCCAGCGCGCGGTGCCTTCTCTGTCTAAGCAAGGGTTTGGAAGAAGGAAAAATTCTACTCTAACCCCTCAATATCGGAACTACAAACAGGCGGCAACAGGAGGGAATTCCCCACGACAAGATATTTAATCCAGGATTCAAGCTAGTGAGCAAACCCCTAAACAACATTTTTTTCCTCATGTTCAAACACACAGGAAACAGGTTTAATTCCTGTTCTTGTCAATGCTCTGTTTCCACAGGCCATCTTTCTGAGATGACATCACAGGAAGAACATAAAATCGAAAATTAAGTATCGTATTCTGCATGCTGTTCATTTTGCTTTCAAAGGTTTCCATACCAAAAAGTCTAGCTAATGTGTATCTGATAATTTCGTGAGCATTCCTAGAAGGAAATGGACAAGTGAACAGGAAAAGAGCATCAGAGCTGGCTTGAAAGATCTTGGTCTTGTCCCTAATTTGGGGTGAGATCTTGGGATTTCATTTCCTCATCTGTGAGACGGGGAGATAAAACACATGGTAAAGTCCTTGACAGGCTGACACTGACAATGTGTAGGGCAGATGCATCCTTCCTCCTCCTATGACAACCAGACCATAAAGTGAAGCAGGTCATTACAAGTAAGGGCCAGGTCAGACAGCAGGGCAGTAAGTGGAGGAAAGAGAAGGAACACTACATTCTTTTATCTATGACACGTTAATAAAGCTTGAGCTACTTTAGGACTTACAGGAGAAGGTCTCAATCACACAATGATAAATGGTTTCCAATTTTTAGGAGATCAGGTATAGAAATACCAGTAGGCAAAGTCTGTTCCCAAGTACCACTGTTGTTATAATGTGAACAGGACACACACTTCTTCCTTCAGATGGGTTTCAAGGATTACTTTGAGATTATTATAATTTTTATAATTTTATATTATAATGAGATTATTGTAATATTTTAATTTGATAGAGATTTGAAGATGTTCCACTACCACATTACCAGCATTCAAAACTCTTAAATGTCCAACCTGCTCTAGATTCTGAATAGAAATGCAAAATGGTAGCTCTTGCTAAGTAAATAGCCAACAAGAAGGAATAATGCCTAAGAAACTTAAAAATCAATTCTAAGTCTTCAAAAGACTGCTCTCTGTGGTTTTTCCTTTTACGTATTTGGGTTCTTCTTCTATTTCACTTACAATGCATGGTAGTAACAACCAGTTGTGAAAGATGAACAGAGTTAAGAAGAAAATCTGGGATCCGTCCCCGAGTTCTGCATGATCTAGGTGTGAAACAGCAGTTTAACCTCAGATGCTTTAATTTACTTAAACAAAAAACCAAGAGTGTGGTTTACATCAGTGGTTTTAAAACCTTTTCTACCCAAGGAATCTTGCATGGTAGAAGCAGCATTAAATTCTCTCATGCTGCCAGGACTCTGTCTGTACAGGGGAGCAATCACCTTTCCCGGGAAGTTACCACCCTATAATATGAACAAGTTAACGTAAAATCCACAATGAGGAAAAATACCAACCAGCAAAGAGCCTGACCAAGAATAAGCTCCTAGCAGTTTTCTGTTGAATAAATTAAAAACTGAACAAAAATGTGATTGAGTACTGGGACAATCTTTGACTCTTACAAGGATTTCCAACCTTTTCACTGCTGAAAAAATTTTAATTCATTTGCTGTGACATCTTAGATGTGACTCTGAAAACAGTGATTAATCCACCAATGCCTCTGAGATTCCTAAAGTGTCATCAAGTTTTCAGAGCACCTAAGAGGATGAAAGAACCAGCGTTACTTCCACGGTACCATTACAGACAAAAGCGGAGAAATCTGTCACTGAAGGTGGCTTGTGAGGTGCTAGGGCAGGTCAACAGCGTATTCCAACTAGGCTTTTCTTCAAGTCCTGAAGTAACCTGCAGACCTAATATACTATAACATTCCAGGGTCAGAACTACTGGATGGACATGGTCAATATTTTCAAAGTGTGTTCCACATAATACTAGTTTTGTGAGGTGTCGTGTATAATCAGGCACATATTGTGGTTACCAAGCTAGTAAGTTTGGGAAACACAGCTCATTGAACACTGCCTTGGAAATTCACAATGTGCACATCAGCACCTGAAACCAGCTTAACTGGAATTTCCTAAATTTATGTGGCCATGAACCAACCCTTTCTTTATCTTCCTCTCCCCTCCACCTCCCTAATGCCTACTGCTATTTTTGAGTTTAAGGAACACATTTTGAGGAATGCTAGACACTTGATTCAAAGGTCCCTTCAAGCGTCCATATTTTTATGATTCCATCATGTTGGGTTAACTGTATAACCAGTGCTGTTTTATATTAATAATTTTGTATTAGTGGTAGAAGAAATGCCACTGGGACCTTTGTTTTAGTGGCCATAAATAGACCTATTTCCCGGGGTATCACAAATACTTTGAGCTGAAACAGGCTTGAGAATTTCTGAACACTCAAAGTTGTAAGTGGATTTTCACAACTTCCCTCCTATTACAACTGGTATAAAGTAAGTATCTCATGGTATGCCTATTACCAAACATCTTTTAATTGTGAAAAAAGGACTGAATATAGTAAGACCTCCATTTAAGAGAAATTAAACTTTGTTACTGTACATAAAGGTACTTTCCTGTAAGAACAATGCAAAGGGGTCACTCTGAACTTAATATTGCTTAATTATAAAATTTTAGTACTTAAATAAATAGACACTTAAATACTGTTGAAATATAGGGTCAGCAAGTGGTAGGGATTAGGGTGTTCAATTATATGAATATTGTAATTCCCTGAGACTCATATTAGTTATATGAAATGAAAATAATTTATTATTTACCTTTATTATAGAAATGTTTTTTCCATTAAAAATAGCAATCCTGAAATATTCTAGAAGTCCTGAATAATTGAAAACAGTGATTTTTCATGGGGAGGGGAGAGAATTCATTTCCTTTCCAAGATTACTAAAACTGATACTTTATAAAGTTTTTAAACTAGGCATTATCAATTAAGGATATATTAATCTGAAATCCACACCGCAGTTTAGATTGAAAAATAAAAGTTCCGAAGGAAAGAAGGTAGGAAGGAAGGAAATGAATCTATAACGCCCACCCCCTAATTCATGGGGTGTAACCGCAAAGGAAAGGTATTTTTTCTTTCCTTCTTTTTTTTTCTGAAGTAATCTCTTTGCCCACCGTGGGGTTCGAACTCACAACCCTGAGATCAAGAGTCAGTCACATGCTGTAGCCCGTGAGGTGCCCCAAGGGAAAGGTATTTTTAAAGACACGTGTCGTCTGAAAGGTGAAAAGAAAAATGTTTAACATTAGCTTTTAAATACCAAAGGTGGATATCTAGGTGTCCCATGAGACAAAAAAAGCAAAATAAGGAAAAATGAAATTTATGTTATCAAATAGAAAGCTCTGTGAAATTAGTGCTCAGTACACACAAGGTACAAGGTGGGACAGGAACACATGCCCATGCCCTGTAGTCAGGCCACGGGATCAACCAGTGCAGGTGGTGTTCAGAAGGCCAAAACGGGTTTCATCCAGGTTAATTTTCAAAGCGAAGCATGAAGACAAGTGATTTAGAAATGATGGCATGCAAGGGATAAAAGTCCCCAATTTCTTAGTTAAGCTGACAGCATTTTCAGCACTGGTCAGACTCTGGAGAATAGCCACGGACACCAAAGTTGCTTACTTACTATGCAACTCCTCCTCCTCATCACTGGAGTAAGAACAGCCAAGAGAAAAAAGGGTTTTAGACTTAAGGAGATGTGGAGAGATGCGGACGGAGGAGGAGACCCGCCTTGCTGGCTGCATCCGCGGCTGGGCTGAGAAGTGGGTTCACAGAAGACGTCAGTGCACGCAGACTGTTCCAGAACAAAGTCAAAGGCACCTCAAACCAGGCTGAACAGAATCACGTCACAAGCCTGTTTGGTTCCAGGAAAGGCTGTCTAGGCCAGCACCATATTTAATTTTCCATCTTTATTTCTGAATATGTAGAATTCCAATACAGCTTAAAAAATTCATCCAACAAAACAAACACCTACTTGCTAGAGTAAGAAAACAAGTCCATTATTTTTAACGGTCATTTTTTTTTTTTT